GTGAGGACAAGTACATTAAACATTAGTGAGATGCTACAGTGATGGGAGATGGAGAAGTACCTGGTTGCATTGTGGTGAGGATTAATGAGATGCTACAGTGATGGGAGACAGAGAAGTACCTGGTTGCATTGTGGTGAGCTGGACCAAGACCCTATGGCGCTAGGTGCTGTACAAACACAGACCAAAAATACAGTCATTCCTCCAAAGAGCTTGCAACCTAAGTATGAGACCATGAGTGTCAGGAGGCAGGGGGAGAACACAAAGAAGCGATAAGGGAATAGGTGTCCACCTGATAGTGGGCAGTTCAGCGGCAGCCTAACGAGACAGAATTATGTCTTGTTATTTAAGCAGTTAGCAACAGCTGCGAGATCGCAGAGCCTTTAGAGGCCTAGCTGCAGAAAGATTAGAGCCAAGCAGGGAACTTGACCCCCCTACAGTCCTTCCTCCAAAGAGCTTGCAACCTAAGTATGAGACCACGAGAGTGAGGAGGCAGGGGGAGAACACAAAGAAGCGATAAGGGAATAGGTGTCCACCTGATAGTGGGCAGTTCAGCGGCAGCCTAACGAGACAGAATTATGTCTTGTTATTTAAGCGGATAGCAACAGCTGCGAGATCGCGGGGCCTTCAGAGGCCTGGCTGCAGAAAGATTAGAGCCAAGCAGGGAACTTGACCCCCCACAGAAAAATCAGTCGGGGGCCGCACACAAGTGAGAAACAAAAAAAAAAAACCCAAAACCAAACACAGCTCTTCAGTGATGTGGCCTCGGACCGAGAAGCAGAAAGACATCCCCCCACATTCCCCTTGCACACCAGAGTCTACAGGGTCCCAGGCTAGTAGATTTTGTGTGCTCCAGCCCAGCTCTGGGGCAGCAGGGTGGGCTCCCCAATGCTGGGGGGCCCCCCTGAGCCTTGGGGGCTGGATCCAGGCAAGCTGGGGACCACATCCAGCCGCAGGGTCTGAGGTTCGCCACCCCGGACTAGCAGGCAATATGGTGAAAATAGCAGGTCCATTCCCAAGGCTGTGAGTGACCCACAGGAAAAATAAACCAAGAACAGCTACAGATAAAGAAGTTAAATTAATGAATTAAGGACAGGAGGCAGGAAGTATTCAATTCAACACTGGCGTCTGGCTGGAAGTGTGGTCTAGTGGGTAGAACAAAACTGTAGGCATCAGGACAGTGGAGTCTTGAAGTTCAAATATATTAAGGCTAAAGTGTTCCCTTGGGAGCAGCTATGGGAGGCAGTTTTGCCTAGTGGATAGGACAGTAGCCGGAGACCCTGTCTTTGGCCTGGCTCTACCAGTAACATGGCTCAAGAGCCTATCTCTCTCTCGGTGTCATCATCCGTAACCCAGGGATGATGGCAGGTTTCCAAGGAAGAGCTGGGTATTTGAGCTCAGGAATGCGATTGCAGGACACTATGGGTGACATTTTCAAAGGCAAATGAAGGATTTGGACACCCATTTGCCGCTGCAAAGCCTAGCCGGCCTGTTCAGAATGCTGCACGCCCCCTAACTAACCCTCAAAAGACACCCCCCTTCCCCGATCAGTAACCTTAGCAGAATTTGATTTTTAATTTTGAACACTTGTTTATTTGGAAGCTTTTTTCCCCAGTTTTTAAGCGATTTAGATGTTTGCAGTGACTTAATTTTGTGCTTTGTTTTTCAGGTTTTATTGATTAACATTTTTACAGTTACAGGAAGTTATGGGAGGGTCCAGCAATGTGGGCGAAGGGGGGGGAGGAGATCAGATAATGACTATGGCAGTAAGTGTTGAGATTCAAAAAGCTAGAGACTTATAATCATTAAAACACAAATTCTCAACATCACACGCCCAAAATATACAAAGTGCATCCCCTTGCATCAAACTCTGATAGGTTCTCAAGCCGCACTTGGCTTTCCTTTGCCTCGCTGTGAGTTTCTTGAGCAACGGATGGAAGTATTTTTCCATCCCTCTGGGTGTGTACGGTAGGGATGTTAAATTTCGATCATTGGGCTAATCGAATAGTTGATGCAATTTGCATCGACTATTCGATTAGTCGATAAGGGCACCTCTGTCTTTGAAAGGCGAAAGCGCTGTGGGGAGCACAGGGCCAGTAGGGGATTTGGTAATCCCCTGCTGACCTGGTGCTCCCCGTGGCGTTTCAAAGTGGCAGTGCCACATGGAGCCCGGCGTCACAGCTGACACCAGGCTCCATGCAGTACTGCCACTTTGAAACGCCGTGGGGAGCCCGGTGGGGGACTCCCTGCAGGTCCCGGGCTGCATGCGGCATTTCAAAGCGGCAACGCTGCGTGGAGCCCGGGGTCTGGCCCTAGGCTCCATGCGGCACTGCCACTTTGAAGCACTCCTCCTCCTCCTTGCTGCCTCTTTCTGATAGCATTTGCTTATCAGAGAGCTGACTAGTCGTTCACACCCCTAGTCTACGGTACAACTGACACATCGACATTTATCAATACAAATCAAATCCTGCTTTATAAACAGGGAACCTGACGCACAGAATACAGGACGACCCCGGCTTACCAACAGCGTGCGTTCCAAACGTTTGTTTGTAAGTGGGTGGCTGGGAGCCCGGAACGCATTTTCCCATAGAAACAAAGTTATAAATGGTAGGTTGGTTCCCAGGCTAGCCCCACAGAGGCTTATTTAACCCGGGAAGTACCGTGTATTTGCCATGCAAAATAGCCTCCATCGTTTTTTTATTTAATCTTGCGTGCTCATGCTTGAGGAAAGGCAGGGGTAATTAGAGGGGGATGAAGAGATAGGTGGTGAGTCTGAAGGGGCTTTTGGGCATCCCCTGGTTACCACCCCCCTCTTCCCTGCGGGTTCTGCACCTCCCCATCCCCAAGCTGTTCCCCTCCTGCCGTGGGCTGCGCCTAGCTCCGGCTCACAAGGCAGTGGCGAGCAGACCAAGCAGAAGCCAGAAGACTTCAGAAGAGCAGCGGCGGCCGTGCAGCCAGCGGCTGGAGAAAAACAGCGGTTTCCCCTTCAATGTGCCGCTTCTCTCCAGCTGCGTGGCCACCCCTGCTCCTCCAGTCCTCCAGCCAGGATTTGCGCTGCTCACCACCATCTCCACCCGTTCCCTGGGGCTGCCGGTGAGCGTTCGTTCACATGTGCATACGTTGTAGCTCGGAAAGCCCCTGCTCTGTGTATGTCTACGCAGCAAAGTTATTTCGAAATAACAGCCGGTATTTCGAAATCGCTTTCCTAGCCTCTATACAAACCAACTGCTATTTTGAAATTAATTCAAAATAGCGGAGGGCTTATTTCGAAATTGGTAAACCTCATTCCACGAGGAATAGCGCTAATTCCGAAATTGCTATTTCCAAATAAGCACTGTGTAGACGCTTATTTCAAAATAGGGGGCCTCCAGCCCTTCCCAGGGTGCCCTGCTGGCCGCCCTGGCCACACAGTAACTTCTCGAAACCAGTTCCGGCTGGCCGTAAATGCGATTCAGCGTCCAATCAGTGTGGACATGCTATTTCGAAATAACAAAAAGCTATTTTGAAATGCATTTTGTGTGTAGACTCATTCTTTCGAAATAAGATATTTTGAAATACTTATTTTTGAAATTAGATATTTTGAAATAACGCTGTAGTGTAGACATACCTGAAGGTATACAAGGCTCCAGTAATAGCAGAGCTGGGAAAGGGACTCATTTACTGGGGGGCTAGTGCTTGGATCCCCCGAGGATATTCACAGACCACGTGCTTCTCTGTCCCCGGATGAGTCTGACTCTTAGATCAGTCCAGTCTGTCCAGAAAACACCCCGATTCCTTAGGAGACAGCCGCCCATCCCTGAGATGTGTATCACCACCCCTTCCCTCGTGGGTTCTCCGACATGCCTACCCAATCTATGCGAACAGAACGTGCAGGAGATCCTCTTGCACAGTAAGAGTGCACTTTTGCCTCTGAGGCCACCCAACGGGTCTCCAGCAGTGTCCAGCATGAGCTTGCACAAAGACAGTGCTTTCAGCTGGGTTTGCCAAATGATTGAACACCCTTCCCCAGCACGTAACGTCTGTCGGGGTTGTTTGAAAGGTCAAAACTGTGTCCATGCAGAGCTCAGGTCTGTCCCACAGCTGGAACCATGTCGGGGAGCACTCACCGCGTCTGGGGGGCTGTTGTATGCGGGTCTCTCAACAGAGGTCCTGCTCTCAGAGGCTGTTCTCAGTGGCGGCAGAGGACAGAACGAGGAGCAATGGTTTTATGTTGCAGTGGGAGAGATCTAGGTTGGATATTAGGAAAAACTATCTCCCTAGGAGGGTGGTGAAGCACTGGAATGGATTCCCTAGGGAGGGGGTGGAATCTCCATCCCTAGAGGTTTTTAAGTCCTGGCTTGGCCAAGGCCTGGCTGGGCTGATTTAGTTGGAGTTGGTCCTGCTTTAGGCCGGGGGCTGGACTCGATGACTCCTGAGGTCTCTTCCTGCCCTAGATTCTCCGATTCTGTAATTCCCGGGGCAGATGGAACCTTAAACACTGGTGCTGCCTCATTTCGTGCACACTGAGCTCTCCAAAAGGGTTGGGGCACTTGGTATTTTGCCCCCGTTTGCCCCACGAGGCTGGCTGGTTGCTCTGCATCTCTTGCGGGCCTGAGGCCTAAACAAAACAGACCTTCTTCTGGTTTAAGATCTGACACAGAGCCAGGACTTTAGAGACGTGCGCAGGTCTTGGGAGCGGGAGGTGGAGGTGGATTCTGCCTCCTCCCCACACTTGAGAGGGAACGGGGGGAAGGGAGGGCGGCAGATTGCAGGGCTGGAGTCCACCTCGATTTACACTGCGTGCTGGGCATCCCTTCTCCTGAGATTAGGCACCAGCAGGAGAGAGGGCTGCCGGCTGTCTCCATGCTTCTGGCTCCTAGACTCCATCACTAGCCTCTGGAGCAGTCTGGAAGAGTTACAGCCAAGCCTGAGCTCACGGAGTTCTGTTCAGCCCAGAAGTGCTCCCGGTACGAAGGCCACCTGGGACCCCAGCTGCTGGCTTCACTCTCTGCATGTGCTTTCAGGTGACTGCATCCCAAACCCTTGTATGAACGGAGGGACCTGCAGCGAAGAAAGAGACCGCGTCAGCTGCATATGTCTGCCAGGCTATGGAGGAGTCACCTGTGAAACAGGCGAGTTCAGACGAGCACCACAAACACAGCCAGAAAGGCTGGTGTATTATAAGGAAATCATATTACAGGGCAGCCGAGGGGTGTATGTGTGTGTGCAAAGGGGGCAGTTGTTCCGGGGCCTGGTAATTTAAAAGGGCTGCAGGCTATGGGCCCCTTAATTTGCCACTGAAGCCCCCCGTGGCATGGTCTAGGGGCACTTGGCTGGGGGAGGCGCAGTGTAGGTAGGTGGTGTGAAGGGCTGGCTGCTCTTAACCCCTTCCTTTCTGCTCCAGGCATTGCCCCTTCTGGGGTGGAGCCAACACACACCCCCCCAATTTCCCAGGGCTTCGCGAAGACTTTTGGCTGCCCTGTCATATTATAACAAGCCCACAGCTTATCTAGACTGCAAATTGTGCCAACCCCCCAAAAAAGAGTTAAGGACCTGTGTAACACCAGGTACATCTGCCGATAATATAATAGTAGGGGGCTGAGTCCGCTGCTTGCTACGCTCACCAACCCCCCCGTCTCTGGCTGCTTTTGCTTCCCTGAGAGGGGCTGTTGAGGTGATGATGTCATTCCGTCATCTGGCAGGAACATTCTGTTCTCCATCAGGAAAAGCTTTTTTATATATAGAGAGATTAATATAATATAATACAGAAAAACTAAAAAGGGAAAATAGAAACATTTCGTTCAAAAAAAAGTACCGAAAAGACTGTTACAAGGAGGAGGGAGAAAAACGATTCTCATTGGCCTTTGAGGATAGGACAAGAAGCAATGGGCTTAAATTGCAGCAAGGGAGGTTTAGGTTGGACATTAGGAAAAACTTCCTGTCTGGGTGGTGAAACACTGGAATAAGTTGCTTAGAGAGGTTGTGGAATCTCCATCTCTGGAGATATTTAAGAGCAGTTTAGGGAGGCACCGGTCAGGGACGGTTTATGGTGCTTGGTCCTGCCTTGATGCAGGGGCGGCCCGTGAACTTAGGCCGACTAGGCGGTCGCCTAGGGCGCCGCTAGCCCAGGCGTCCGATGATGACGTCACAGAGAGCCTGGGCGCCCTGTGGTTACATCATGGCCATTGACGGCCATGCAGGTGGGGGCGCCAATCGCACCTTCCGCCTGGGGCGCCAGGCCGCTTCTGCCTTGATGACCTCTCAAAGTCCCTTCCATTTCTAGTGTTCTATGATTCTATGAAAACTGTCAAAATGGGCTATTCTGACATGATCGGAACCTTTTCTCTCCAGATTTCTTCCTAAACGAAATTCCAGCTTAGCAAAGGGTTCTCTGAGTAGTTTAGTGCAAACCTCAGTGGCTCAGGGGCTCCCAGCTGGTACTGCAGCAGCACTGGCGGCCAGAGCCCTGGGTCCTTTAAATTGCCGCTGGAGCACTGTGCGCTCCGGGCGGTTCTGAGGGCTGGCTGCCCTTTGCTGCACCCCTGCCACCCAAGCCCTCCACACCGTGCCCAGGAGCCTGCACAAGTTGTCAGCCCCCCCTAGGCTCCACATTTCTCCAAGAGTCACACGACACAGACCCGCAGTGCTAGTGACACACACTGAAACCCCTCAAACTGGTGCAAGCCCGTAAAAAGAATGTGAAGGTGTCTTTGCAGCAGGGCAAAGTGTACTCCTTAATGAGACAACAGAACCAGCTGTTCAGATAATTAAGGTCCCTTAGAGCAAGGAAAGGCAATCCAGTAAGCCATCATGCAAGATCCAAGGTTGGAGAGAAGCAAGAAGAAAAGTGTTAGAAAGACAATGAACGGCGAAGAGCTATCATACCTCATTCTCCATTGCTTTCTACCTCAGCTGGCCATTTACACCAGAGCAATTGCTTTTCTGATCTGGTGTAAATGACTGAGCAAGGTGCAATGCAATGGAGAATCAGGCCCGTACAACGCAATCGAAAATTGGGCAGCTGGAATTTTTTCTCTTCCGAGATGACGCTGGAATTCATTTGCATTTACGTTAACATCCCTTTGCCCTGTTCTGGAAGAGAAATACAGTCAGACTCGCTTGAAAGGCTTTTTACATAGTCCCAGGCGGGTAAAAGAAGCACAGCACAACTGAAAGAATCAAGTCTTTGAACTCAAGGGGAGTTGTAAAATTGCAGTTGATGGAGATGGGAGATCCACCGTACCTTGCGCGGTGTATGTTTCGAGGATCCAGAGTCACACCAGATGCGAATCTGATTCAAACCAAAACGTAAGGCCATGTCCTCAGCTAGTGGGAACTG